GAGAGTTGCCCAAGGTCACACAACCGGTACGCCTTTTCAGTGTTTCTGCAGGAGGTGTTATAATGGTGCGGGGTTGGCGGGGCGGTTTAGCCTCTGTCCTCATCTTCGCAGAACTATCTCAGCCTTCAAAGTTTCCCTCCACAAAACATCATCATTCCCCCTGCATGCTCCAGATCCCCATGAGGTTAGCCGTAGCAGGTATCATTATTCCCATTTTATAGATGAGAAAATTGAGGCCCCTGGGTGGCCCTGAAGCCCTAATAACAGCTTACATTGTGTAGGCAGCCATTTCCGGCTATTATCCCATTTCATGCATAAACGGCCCTTGAAGCAGGGAAAACCCTCATTAGCTTGTGTGATAGAAGAGGCATCACTCAGGCCCAGAGAAGGACATGAGTCACCCAGGGTCACACAGCGGGTAAGCTGTGTGTCCAGTGGGCCCCACAATGCTGGGGCCCCTCCATCACTGCTCTTGTCTGTTCAGCGTCTGTCTCCAGCAGTGGAGGCCAGAAACTGAATCTTCATATTCCTTGCCTTGGTCTCTGGGCCTGGGTTTCAGCCCGGCACAAACAAGATAACTCATCTTTTAAAAAATCTGCAATGAACAAAATGTCATGCTGAAATAAAGTCAGGATTGGTATTACTGATTCTTTTGTTTTGGTCTCAGGCTCCAACCTGAGGTCTGTAGTCTAGAGGAATGGAAGGCCAGATTGGAGGTGGCCAGGGGAGACACCAAGATGGATGGGAAGGGCATCGCAGGTGGAGGGAACAGCCTCAGCGAAGGTTGGAGGCAGTGAAGCCTGCTGAGTAGCTAGAGGGCGAGGGGGCAGCAGCTAGGCCGGGGCCTGGAAGCCCAGGGCTGCTGTCCTTCGAGGAGGCAGCTCCCTTTTCTGCAAAACTCAGCGATGCTGGCAGAGGATGAGAAGCACCATGGTCCCTTCCCAGCACCCCCTCCAGCTGCTGAGTGCAAGGCCAGGAGTGTGATTCAGAGGGAGCCCAGCCTAGGCTTGGCTCCAATACCTTCCTCCTGCCAACAGCTCTCTCTCCTCCTTTGGATTCTGCTGGGAAAAAAAACAAAAAACAAAAACCCTCTCCCTCCCCACCCCCCCACCGCTGCTGGGGAGGAATTTGACATGGCAGCTGGCCCAGGTCTCCACCCTCCCCCATGCCTTCTCTGCCAAGCACGACGTGGCCAAACCAAACCAGGGGACCCTCTGAGGATGGCATACACCCCCAGCCGGGGCGCAGAGGAGCCCCCAGCCTTAGTGCCCCTCCAGGGCTCAGCACAGCACCACGCACCCCTCTCGGCCATGAGACCATCTGTTCATCATTGAAAACCTTGGTACTGGGGTCTGGAGCTGAGGAGCAGGGATTCCGGGCAAAAAATGCTGGAGGAGAGGGCCTGCCTGGGCCTCAGCAGCCTCTCAGATGGGCTGAGCTGGGCTTCTGGGCCAGGCAGGGGGTCGAGACCCCTACACATGTCTGCACACACCCACAGGGACCTGTCTTCTCAGTTCCCCCAGGAACCGGGCCAGAACTGAGTCCCAGCCAGCTGCCCAGCAAAACCAAGCCAGGCCACGAAGCCTTCCCACAAACAGACACGCCCCGCTCCAATTACTCCCCCTCCTCTAATTCAAAAAACAACTCTCGTGGATGCAGAAGGGGCGGACGGCTGCTCTGCTAGCAGCACTTGGTGGGGGGGTGTCCAGACTTTGGAGCACTGGGGGACCTCTGCCTGGCTCTTTCTGCACCTGCTCTTTCCTCTCTCAGCCCAGTGAACCCCAGGGGCTCCACTAGGGCTGGGAGGGTGGCAGGGGAGGGGTGGAGGGAATACAGAAAGGGGAAGGAATAGGGACTGAGCTGGAACAGTGTGGGAAGGCGGGGGTAAAGATAATTGGTCTTTTTCACTAATTCCTCCATCAACATTTATCAAGCATCTTCTGTGTGCCAGGCAATCTTTTGGACAGTGAGGATGCAATGGGGAATAAAAACAGTCAAAATTCCTACCTGATCCGTTAGGGGAGACACATAGGAGCAAGATGTGGAAGTAGAAATGTACAGCGTTGGGTGGTGGTAGCACGGAGAAAAATCAGAGGGAGAGAGAGGAGGAGGGGAAGCCGGGGTCAGGCTTGGGGGCGCAACTCACTAAGCTGAGACCTGCAGGAGGCGGAGGGGAGTCATGTGCGTGTCCAAGGGGAGAGTGTTCCAGAAGGCACAGTCCGCATGAAGGTCCTGGGGCAGGGCCATGTCTAGTGTGTTGGAGGAACAGTGAAGAAGCCCGTGTGGCTGGAACAGAATGAGCAAGGAGGGGAGAGGGAAGCGGTGAGGGCAGGGAGCGGATGCGGCAGGTCGTGCCAGACCTCATGGGCCGCCGAGAGGACTTGAGCTTTTAGCCTCAGGGAGGCGGGAGCCCTGGAGGGCTGTGGACAGAGGGGCGGGACCTGACTTAGGGGCTCACAGGCGCCCTCTGGCCACTGCGGGGAGGACAGACTGTGGGGATGAGGGTGGGAGCTAGGGACCAGGATGGAGGGGATGTGCTAATCCAGGTGGGCAGTGATGGGCGCTGGACCAGGGGAAGGCTGTGTACCTACTATGTGCCAGGTACCTTGCTGAAATATTTCTTTACCTTCACATCAGTACCACCCCCCTTAGGTATTATCACTTCCCAATTTGATGAATGAGAAGATTATGGCAGACTTTAAAAACCCAGAGAAGGGAAGGACCTCACCCCAAATACCAGTCTCTAGGCGGCACAGCACATCTTCCCACTGTCTAAAGCCCTCCAGGGCTCCCCATTGCCCTCAGGATGACTAAATTCGCCACATGGCCCACAAGGTCCCGCAAGACCAGCCCCACCCCCTCCCTCTCTCCGCTTGTTCACTTTCCTCCAGACACACGGGCCTCCTGGCTGTTCCTCCAACATGCTGGGCACAGTCCTGCCCCAGGACCTTTGCATAGGCTATGCCCTCTACCCAGACTCCTTTCCTTCCAATGTGGCTTTTCCTCTACATCTGCCTTGTTCATCTTCACCTGCTCAGCACTCAGCACACGGTAGTTAACTCAATAAGTATTTAGTGAGTGACTTACTGAACTTTTAAGCATAATTCTGGCTTTTATGAGGTAGTAACAGCCCGAGGGCACATATCTAAACAGGGAGCTCCCTCAAACCAACCCTTAGGTCCCCAAATTAGGAACCACCAGCAGAGGGATGTCTGAAAGGAACCAAGAGGGCTGGATTTGGGGGACCAAAGGGATCCACCCCGAACCCCTTCATTGGGCCAATGGGCTTCTCCCAGAGATGGGGCCTGACTCGTTAGGGGCATTCTCATTGGTCATGACCTACCCAGCCGTGTCCTGACAGGCCACGCAGCAAAGCGCAGTCTCTGATTGGGCTCTTCTTCTCCAGCGGCCACCTCATGCCTGGGATTCTACCGTTTGTCTGGGTGCCCAGTTCTGAGTTGTTTCTTTCCTGGCGACGCCCGCGGGGCCGAGGCGGTGGCACTGCCCAGGCATGCTGGTGTGCCGCCCAGAGATTTTGCAACTGTTGCATGCCCTGGGCTCCTTCTGCCAGTTCCTGGAACCCTGGCATGGCCGGTGGTGTTGACTGCCCACCCCCCAGCAGGTGGGCCCAGAGTCCTGTGCAGCGCGGGCGCCCGGGGCAGCGGCAGGGGCTGGCTCCACCCTGACGTGCTGTGCGCCCTCTCTGAGCCTCAGTTCTCTCCTCTGCTAAAGGAGACCTCTGAACGTGGGTGCCAGTGAGGCCACAGAGGTTTCCAAGGGGCAGTTCTGCCCCGGGAAGACACTGGGCCATGCCTGGGGACTTTTGTGGTTACCACGACTGGAGGGAGGGCACCTGGCATCAAGTGGGTGGGATTCCAAGGCGCTGCTCATTCCCCACAGCGCCCAGGACGGCCCCACAGAGAATGATCTGGCCCCAAATATCCAGAGTGCTGAGGCAGGTGGCGGGAGGTGGGGGGATGACCCTGCAGTGGAGGGGTCTAGGCGTTTGGGAAACTGGAAACCATTGTGTGCAAAGAAGGGGCTGCCTGGTTGTCATGATTTACTCAACAAGCAGGGATCTGTCTGCGGCCGTGGGCCAGGCCCTTGCAGGGCGGCTTCATTTATCCTCATGAGAGCTATGGGAGGTGGGAACAATGAAAGCAGGACAGGTTTATAATGCACCTACTGTGTATCAGGTAACCATGCCTCACCTACATGTGACTCCGCCCCCCCCCCACATCCCCAGTCAACACAGCCATTTCTCCTCAACCCATTTCACAGGTGTGCACACTGAGGCACCTGCCCGCAATCACACGCTAAGCCTGAGGCCAGCTCCAGCTCCCTCCACCTCATTGCCCTGGTCCTGCTCTGGGCTCTCTGTCCTGCTTCCCAGGCTTCCCTGTGCTCGGCAAGAGTGCACAGTAGGTGCCCCTGTGGTCCAGCCCTCTGCCCCCATCACTTATGTGGGACAGAGAGCTGCCAGTTAACCTACCCCAGAGGTCCGTTCCCAGCATCCACAGCTGACCTCTGTTCTCATTAGTCAGCCTGGGCTCTGGTGGTTTGTTAAATGCTTTGGATGACACCCCCGCATGCGGTGGAGACAGACTCACTCACTTGTATCACAACAGGAATGTCAATAACCAACATCACCCAGCACCTCGGGGTGCCAGACCCTGTGCCGAATCTTTTACACACTCCACGCATGAATTCTCAAAGCCGCACAGTGATGGGTGTAGTACCATTGCCCCCATTTTACGGATGGGGAAACTGAGGCCCAGAGAGAAGCAGGTCTGTTCCAGGGCTCTGTGACACCATGCAACATGCAGATTCCCAGGTCCCCTCAGACTTGCATACTGGTTTCTGCTGAGCTGGGCCCCCTAGCCTGTCTCCCCAGTTCTCCTGGAAGGTGGGAGGCGCTGCTGTTGCCTTGCTCAGGGCATGGCCCTGGGCTTCTCTGGGCTTATCCCTGCCACCCTCCAAACTGCTGGGAAGGGAAGCAAAGCAGCAAGAGAGACTGGGGTTAGATGCTTAGTAGCACTTCCCAGGTTTGGAAACCTGTGGAGCAGGAAATTTGCCCCCAATTTCTCCCCCTTTGGACACATTTCACTCCCTTGAAATTGGAGCAGAGGAAAGAGCAGGTGAGTGATGATCCTTCTGGAGGAGACAGGGAGGCTGCAGCCCCAGAAGATGTGGCCACTTGCCCATGGGCAGGGGGACTCCCGGTTGGCCAGGGAGCTTTATCCCTGAACTCTTTGAACTTCTCCAGACATCTTGGCTTTGGAATTGAGCCGAGCTGGATTGGAATCCTGGTTTTGCCACTTGTTTGCCATGTGACTTGGAGGGGTAGCTTGCCACATTTGGGGGCAGCGAGAAGGCCATGGAATGTGGTGGCCAAAGTCAAGCCCAGACCTCCGCGGAGGGGACTGGGGAAGGCCTCCACCCAGCGCCCTTGCCGGAGGGCCTGGCACGGGCATCTGGGTGTGGGCTCGGGCACGGCCTGGAACTCCAGAGCCTGCCCACACACGCCGGCCCCAGGCAGCCTCCAAAGTCCCGCTCTCTGGCACGGCTCCTTCAGATGGGAGAAACTGAGGTCAGGATCTCACAGGGTGGGAGATGGTGAATGATACGGGGCAGGTGTGGGGACCCTCCCCACATCCCCTGTTACCTACCGCCTGGCTCAGTCACTTCCCAGGCTGAGTGTCTGCCGTTGTCACATGGGAACTCAGACAAGGTGCTTCTCTTTAATGGGCCTCAGTTTCCCCATCTGTCCCACAGGAACTCACTGACCTGCCTGGCGGGGGCCACTGCAGGGAAGAGAAAATGATCCAGTTCTGTGCAGCATCGGGTGTGGGAGCGGCATGGTGATTTCCAGCTCCATGGGGCTCACCAAGGTCCCCTTCCCTCACCCCCACCCGCCAGCCCCCAGCACTCAGGACTTTGGAGGCTCAGACCCCAGCTCTGTGGCTGTCAGTTGGCGTGGCCTCAGACAGGAGGCATCCTTGCTCCTTGACTCGGTTTCCCCATCTGCAAAATGGGCACAGTCATATGATGCCTGTGGTTGCCATTATTCACCAGTCACCCTGCTGGCTGGAGGAGTGTCCCCAGAGACACCCCCTCAATGTCCCCTGGGTAGGGCTGGGGCCTTCTCTTCGCACTAGGAGGGCTCCCTCCTGCCTCCTGCCAGCTGCTGGGGAAAGTCCTGAATAAGAGATTTCTTTCCCTTCCAGAAGTTGGGGAGCAACTCCTGCTTCTCTAGATCCAAAAAGGTGGCTCCCTGGCCTTCACCCTTTGCCCCCTGACCTTCAGCTGCAGGCAGGGGGCAGCCAGCAAGTGGTTTCCCAGGGGGCAGCCTGGGTCACACCCAGGTGGATGTGAGGCTGGAGGCGGGGTGCCCTCCTGGGAGTGGGAGCCTTGGGGAGGACTGCGGCCCAGGGTGGGGGCCGGGGAGCGGGGGAGCCGGCGCCCGAGTCGGGGGAGCGGCAGGAAGCCGGCTGCAGAGGGTGAGTCGTGGGCGCCGTGTTTCCGGCTGCGCAGCTGAGTTATGCGAAGGGGCAGAGAGGGGAGGGCGGGCGCCCTGACGTCGCCGCCCACCCGGCCTGTCGGACAGACGAGGGAAACGCGGGTTCGGAGCGGCTTGGCCACAAGCTTGAGGCTGCCCCGCGGGAGCTGGAGGCCGGCCCAGGGGAATCCGGGCCATGGGGACTGGAGGCCCTCACCCCATTTCTCCATCCCCTCAGCCTCCCCTCCACGGGGCACCGCGGGCCGGAGGGGCGGCAGGCCCCCGGCTGGGTCTCTCCACTTCCAGCCTTGCCCTGGACATGCAGGGTAACCCAGCCTCCGTGTGGCCATCTGTGCAGTGGGCTTGGGTTATGTATTTATTTATTTACTAACATTTTGGTTCTTTAATTTCTTTCTCAAGGACAAGAGGTTTCTCCACAAAGTGGAGGTGGGGACCATCGGGACCCACACTTTTTGGGCGAGAAAACTGGGGCAAGATGCTTTGGGTCAGAGCGGTGCCAGAGCCTGACTTGGGTGCCCTGCTCTGGTCCCTATGACTCCGTCTCCCTGGCACGCTCCATCCGCCACCCGACGCACCTTCCACCAGCTGGACCTAGCCTGGGGCGGGCAGAGGCCCCACTTGGATCTGAGAAAGAAGGCGGGGAGGGTGGGGGTGGGGGTTGGGCTGCAGACCCCCCCCCCCGAAGAGGCCTGGCCGGGAGCGCCCCACCCCCTAGCTCCGTTAACAGGGCGATTAAAGAGTGACAGACGAGAGGAAAAGCCTGAAAGAATTAAACAAACGAAGGGAGAGGCTGGTTCATATCATCTCTAGTACAACGTGTCCTCCGGAGCCAGGATTAGGCGCGGGCGTCTTCCAGGCAGCCCTGGCGGTGGGTGGCGGCACCCGGCTCCCGCGCGCCCCGCCTCAGGGTCCACCCTGGCCACGCCCACCCCGGAGCCCAGCCCTCTGGACCCCTGCTCGTGGAAGCTCAGGGCTGCAGGGGCCGGGTGCCGCTGGGAGGGCGCCAGCTCTGCGGGAGGAGGTGGAGGGGGGCGGATCCAGGAAGTGTGCCACCTGGCAGATCCGCTCCCAGGCCCTCCCGGCACCATGCGCTCGTGACCTCGGACAAACCCGAGACCTCATGGTCTCTTCTGAGAAATGGGCTTGCAGGGCGAAGTGTTTGGGAGCTCGGCACAAGTCGGCGCACGCCTTGGAAAGCCTCGGAAGCTGGAATGTGGGCTCTCCACGCTATTCGTCGGCTAGCAGCCAGGCAATCAGAAGAAAGTCTAAGGATCGATTCGGTTTTCCTTATGGGGTTCAGTGTCCCTGGACATTGTGTGCTGTGTTTCCTCTCTGGTCTGGCTCCCTGGAAAGCCAGCTCCAGGGACCCGGCACCCAGGAAGCACCCTGCACACGTTCGTGTGTACTGCATAGCCGTTCAGGACCAAGCTCTGTGCTGAGGATGTGGGCATCTCACAGGAGCCTCACAAAATCAGGAAGTGGTGTTTTATTGCCCCTATTTCCCAGAGGCAGAAACTGAGGCTCAGAAAGGGAGAGTCATGTGCTCAAAGTCACCCTGCAAAGAAGTGACAGAGCTGAATTTCGAATCCCTTCCCCTTAAGGTTCAAGGCACTCAGCTGAGAGGCTGCCCTGCTCCTCCTGGACCCGGATGTCTGTGGGATCAAGACCCGGGGGATTTGTGGGGGGATGCCTGGGTCTATTTCCGCAACCACCTGTCAGCCTTGCAGGGAGCTGGGAGGGGGATGGGCAGTGTCACTTGAGGGCCCCTGTGTTGGAGGGAGTGTGGGCCCAGTGTTGAGGGGTAGAGAGCATGGTGTGGGGGAGGAACCTTGGCCCCAGCACTCACTGAGGCCACGGTGCCCTCCCCTCCAGCTGCCGGGCTGGGGACCCAGAGTGATCTCCCCCCACCCCACCAGGGGGCTGCACTGCAGCCACTCAGCAGGCTGATTTATTTTTCCAGTAACGATTACTCAGCTCCGGGATCTGGGAGAAAGGTCAGGGCCTTGGCCAGCAGCAGTAACTGTACTGAATAGTGAAGAGGCTGGAATTCCCACTGCCCCCAACTCCTGGGCTGCTGCTCGCTGCCCCCTGCAGGTGTCTGGTGTCACCCGAGGCAGGAAGGAGGCAGGAGAGTTTCCCAGACCCCAGATATGGCCCAGATTGTCCCCATGCTTGTCCACCCCATGACACACTCACTCCCATCCCGACCACCTGTCCCCAGCCTGGAGGAAGCACACCCGCCATAATGACTGAACCCACCAGGCAGCTTCTCCTGGAGACCCCCCGCCCCCCCCCCATGACTGGTGCAGACCCAGGGAGAGAGCAAGTGGGAAGGGGCAGAAAGGGTTCTGCCCCCCAGGGCTTGGCGAGCTGGGCGTGGCTCCAACCCTTTATCATTTCTCTCCTCCCATTCCGTTCCTCTGTCTTCCCGGTGGGTAGTTAGTCACCCAGTGTCCTCCACCACTCACACCTGTAGCGTCTCTGCAGGCCTTCTGTGCATAGGGTACCAACCGGCATACATCGTTTCCAACAACTCAGGTTAGACCCTGAAACTGCGTCAGACTCCAAGACCCGGGAGTAGGAACATCCCGTAGGCTCTTGCTCTGCTGTGTGAGTAAGCAGGTTTCACGGGACTCATTTTACAGATGGGGAAACCAAGACTCTGAGAGGTGAAGCTGTTTGCTCCTCTCTAGTTTCCTGGGTTTCAGTTCTGGTCCCACCCTACCCCATCTGTAAAATACTCCTTGATATCTCCATGGCTCCCCATCTCCCTTTGGGTAAAATCCACTGCCCTCCCCTCGGCCCACAGGGCCCTGCATGACCTGCCCCACCCCCTCCCTGTCCCCACCTCCTCCCTCTCTCCACCTCGCCACACAGGTTTCTTTGTTCCCCCAACATGCCAGGAATGGTCCTGCCCCAGGGCCTTTGCACAGGCTGCACCCTCTGCCAGGAACACCTTTCCCCAATACCTTCAAGGCTGACTTCTCATCTTTCAGGACACTTTCCACTTGAGGCCTCCACTCCTGTCTCCCTCTCCCTTGCCACCCACCTACCATCCTATTTTCTGTTCTGTAGCCTCATCACTGAAGTTATCTTATTCATTTCTGTGTTTATGTACATCTGTTCTAGTCAATGCTGTAACCCCAGGGCCTGGAACAGGGCTTGATACCCACTAGGGGTTAGATAAACATTTACGCCAGTGGTCAGTAAACTACAGCCCAGGGGCCAAGTCTGGCCCACCACTTGTTTCATAAATAAAGTTTTATTGGCACACAGCCACTCCATTCAGTTACATCTCGTCTATGGCTATTTTTGTGGTGCAACTGCAAAGTTGAGTAGTCATGACAGAGACTGGCCCACAAAGCTGAAAATATTGACTATCCACCCCTTTAGAGAAAAATTTTGCAACCTCCCCCCTCCTCCACTTTAGACTAGCGGATATAAATGGAACCAATGGAAACATTCAACCCGCTACAGCTTCTGGTCCTGACTGTACCCTCATCCTCCCACAGTATGACTTGAGAAGTGCTCCTGCCCTGAGCCTCAATTTTCCCAACTGTCAAATGGAGCGTGTGAGAGTCCACAGCTCACCAACTGTGTTCAGTGGGGCCAGATGTTTAAAATAGTCAAACAGACCAATCAGAGAGATTTGAGAGCCCAGGGTGCATCCTTGGATATCTGCGGAGGTGAGATCACAAGCCAACCAGCAGAAGGCTGCGGGGCCAGCCAACGGCACTGGGGAAAAGAGGCTTGTGTCCCATGAGAAAACTGACACTGGTCCCCAGACCCACGTTACCTGCAGAAGTGGACGCCCCCCGAATTAAAAACGGAAACATGAAAGACAAAGCAGGAACATTGATAGAAGAAGGTGTCCGAGGGGAGCTGTAGAACCTAGGAGGTGAGAAAGAACTTCTTAAACAAAACTTCTGAACTACAAGCCAGAAGGCAAAGTATGTGCGAATTCGATGACATTCAAATGAAATCTTTCTGTCCAAAGAAGGACACTAGGAGCAGAGTGACTAGACAGGTGATGGGACAGGAGGAAAAGTGGCAGGGCCAAGAGCTGGAGTATACAAGGAACTCCCGCCCAGGGCTGCTATATTGCAGCGGCAGCCATTGTCCCTCTAACCTGAGTTCCAAGCTGTCTCAGCGGGACTGTTTGCCCTGGAGTTATGCAATACGGAGGCCCTGCTCCTCAAAACCACTATAAAAAGATGGCACCCCTAGAGCCAAGTGGACAGAGCACACGAATGGGTGACTTTCAGAGGAGAGAAGAAATGGTCAGCCCAGGACCTATGCAAAGTAGCACAGAAGTGAGGTACCACTTTACACCTGTCAGCGGGGCAAAAATGAGAAAGGTAGATGATGCCAAGGGCTGCTGGGAGCCTGTGTGTGTGTTTGTGGAGGGGGGGACTGCGGCAGCCCCTCTGGGGAGCAGCCTGACACTACTAGCTGACACAGGCAGGTACACACCTGTCATCGGAGCTGCATGGATCCACCAGGAGGCCCACGTAGGAGCTTCATAGCAGCTTCATGCATAAAAACCCCAAACTGGAAACGACCAGAATGCCCGTCCTTACTAGGACAGATGAAAAAAGCGAGCTATACTGATTCGATGGAATATTATGCAGCAAGGAGTCAGCACCACCCACATTAATAACAGGGCATTATGAGACTAACTGTATCCTCCCCAAATGCATATGTTGGAGTCCTAACCCCCAGGACCTCAGAACGTGACTGTATTCGGAGAGGGGATCTTTACAGAGGTGATCAAGCTACAAAGGAGGCCATTGTGGGAGAGCCTAGGCCAATACGCCTGGCGTCCTTCTATGAGGAATTTGGGCAGAGGTGCACACACGGAGGGGGCCATGTGAACACGAAGACAGACGCCTGCAAGCTGAGGAGAGGGTGCAGAAACAGATTCTCCACCCTGACCTCAGAAGGAACCAGCCCTGTGGACACCTTGATTTTGGACTGTAGCCTCCAGAGCTGGGAGACAGCAAATGTCTGGTTCAAGACACCCAGTGTGTAACATTTTGATTTAATGGCCCCAGGAAACTAAGACACAGGTGTTGGCACACTGTGGTCCAAGGATCAAATCCAGCCTGGGAGGGTTAAATTTTGTGAACCCTCATCTAAATGCTGCCGTGCAGGGATCCTGTACATGCCATTTGCATCTCCATCTGTTGACCTTAAGTGAAGAACGTGGCCCTCTGGGATATGGATGGGCCACATAAAATCAGTTGAAGGACCTAAGAGCAGATACGGAGGTTTCCTGGTAAAAGAAGTTATTCTGTCTCTGAACTGTAACAGAAGTCCTACCTGAGTGTTCAGCCTGCCTGGCTTACAGATTTCTGACTCAAGGCTGCAACATCGCCTCATAACTGAATTTCCAGCATGCTGGCCTGCCCTACAAGTTTTAGACTTGCCAGCTCCCACCTGGCATGAGACAACTCCTTAAAATAAATATCTTTATATGTTTATATCTATATTTCTGTATCTGTCTAACACACACACACACACCCAGCCCTTATTGGTTCTGCTTTCTGGAGAACCCTGACGTACACAGCCCACCCCTGGCCTTTATAAATAAAGTTTTATTGGCATTCACAGCTACATCTATTCACTTAAGCATCATCTTTCCAGCTGTATTACCTATACGTGCAAACTAACAAAATACATTTTCAGAGACGCACACTGATACTTGAGGTTTGCCTGTGGATGGATGGTAACGGAGGAAGAGGGTAGAAATACCCAGGTAAGGGGGAGGGTGTAGCTCAGTGGGT